ATCCCCTCTCAGGCTGCTCTTCTCCAGGCTGAACAGTCCCAGCTCTCTCAGCCTCTCCTCATCAGGCAGATGCTCCAGGCCCCTCAAGTTCACAACTCCAGTCACCCCAGGTCACCAGGAGCCACCACACACGAGCTTTTTTGAGGCAGCACAAGCCAAATCTACAGGTTGAGCACCCAAACCACTCATCTCGGGTCTGTCCACAGATGTTGGTGAATCACCACCACGAATGAACCCACAGCAAACAGCCCCAGCACCCATCACCCCTCACAGCCACCTCCCCTTGTCCCCTCCCCTTGGTGGCACGTCACTGGTCTGTCCCTCTTTCAGCACTTGCAAAGACAACAAGGGAGTGAGTCCTCTCACACATCTCCACTCTGGCTGCCCCCAACTCTCTGACCAGCAAAGAATTAACACCAGCCCCACAACAACAACAGCAACAACAACAACAACAGCAACAGCAACAACAACAAGGGGTGGACGTGTCCTTTCCCCAGCGAGGAGGAGCTGGTGCCTTGAGGGTGGGGCAATAAGCTTTGTCCTGTGATGTCTGATGTGACCCTGGAGGGTGTTTTATAGAATCCCAGACTGGTTTGGGTTGGAAGGGACCTTAAAGCTCATCCAGTCCCAACCCCCCTGCCATCAGCAGGGACACCTTCCACTAGACCAGGTTGCTCAAAGCCTCATCCAGCCTGGACACAAACACTTCCAGGGAGGAGCAGCCACAACTTATGTGCAGAGAGGGGGACAAGAGAGGAAGCAGAGCCACAAGGCTTGATTTTCCTCCTCTCAATTTCAATTCTGAGCCTTTACCCCACTGTCTTGATTTTCTTCCTCTTAATTTTAACTAAGAGCTTTTTGCTTCTCCATCAGCTCCTCCACTGAGCTCCAGCACACGCCTGGCACGAGGAGAAGATGGGATCTCACAGGATGTCATGTCCTGAGCGAGGCAGCAAGACACAACTTGCTCCTCTGGGAGGTTACCAGGAAGAAGTTTTGTCTTTTCTAAGCCTGTGAGGGCAAGAGTTTTGTGGTGGAAAAATCAAATGTCCTCCATGGATGAGCTTCTCACACTCCTTGGTGGGCACACGCTTCACAAATCCAGCCTGGGAGCTGCACACTCACCCTCAAACCTCGTTCCTCTCGGATTCACCACCACAAACTCACCCATTTTTGGGTCCTCCTCAGGGTCAGGAGCTCCACACTCTGCCCATACACACATCAGTGCCTTTCTCAGCATGAACCAGCTGCTGAGGAAGCTCCTGAGCTGTGAAACTCCAAGTGTCCTCGATCCACCTCCCAGTTCCCACTCTGTTCCCAGCTGTATTGAACTGGGAGCTGGGGAAGGACTTTTCATAAGGGCAGTTAATGACAGAACAAGGGGAAATGGGTTTAAGCTGAAAGAGGGGAGGTTTAGATGAGATATTAGGAAGAAGTTCTTCACTGTGAGGGTGGTCAGACACTGGAACAGGTTGCCCAAGGAAGTTGTTGATGCCCCCTCCCTGGAAGTGTTGAAGGCCAGGCTGGATGAGGCTTTGAGCAACCTGGTCTAGTGGAAGGTGTCCCTGCTGCTGGCAGGGGGGTTGGGACTGGATGAGCTTTAAGGTCCCTTCCCACCCAAACCAGTCTGGGGCTCTATGATTAATTGCTCCCCCAGATCCAGCCTGTGCTGAGCATCAGTTCACACCACAAATGACTAGGTGAGGATCTGTCCCACGGCAGCAACACTCGGGTCCTGCTCAGCATAAAAACCAGAGGATCTGCCCCGAAATTTTTAATTCCAGGACTTGACAGGCAGAGTTTGGATAATATTTTCTGGTAGTGGTTGAATTCCCTTCGCTGTGACACTCTGTAGGGATAACACACAGGGTGGTTTGGGAGCTGAGGGAGAGCTGGGGAAGGGTGCTGAGCACAGGGCTTTCCAAATCAACACCCAGTTCTGAAGGCAGCTGTAACTGCTGCTCCCGGCTCCTTCAGCTGCAGGGCTGATAAAAAGGTGACAAGAATTTCAACAGGGAGCAATATTTTCATCTTCATTCTCAAAACAGCTCGACTGTTGGTTTAATTCACCTCCCACACTCCTCCCCCCCACCTCACACCTCCAAGCCCAGGGCTGGATGATTTTTGTGCCTGAAAGTTTCAGGAAGTTGAGAAGAAAAATAAGGGGTTAGAGGAGAAGTGGTGTGGAAGCCCCCAGTGATGCTGCTCAGGGGATGTTTCAGCTCACAGGAATTCTTAGAGGACTTTTGGGATGTCTGAAAATGATTTCCTGTAAAAACCATGGGGGTGAGGACCACGAAGGCTGCGGGATTGGGAACCACACTGGTGGGACACGGGGACCACGGGGCAGCCTGGGCAGCTTCCCACCATGAGATGAACCCACACGTGGCATCTCTGGGTTTCTTGCTGCTCCTGCACAGCCTGAGGTGAGTGAGATGCTGGAGCTGGTGGCCTTGGTAATCACTTCCAGCTTTAAGGAGCCTCCATCAACTGAGCTGTGTCAAAGATTGTGTGTGTGCTGTGCCCTAAACCTGCTGGTTAAATCACTGCACCCTGCACAGCCAGGGAGTTCCCTCCTCCCACAGCATCCCAGCATGGCCTGGACTGGAAAAGATCTCCAAGAGTCCAACCATGAACCCACCACTGACCAGTCCCCTATGACTAACCCATGTCCCTCAGCACTGTGTCTACACGACTCTTCAATCCCTCCAGGGATGGGGACTCCACCACTGCCCTGGGCAACCCCTTCCAATGCCTCAGAACCCTTGCAGCAAAGAAATTCTTCCTCACATCCCATCTCAACTGTCCTGGCCACAACTGGAGCCCATTTCCTCTTGTCCTGTCCCTGGAGATGGCAGCCACGAGGGCTGAGGGACGTTCC